TGTTTTATTCAATCATTAGATTTGGTGTACTTGGGAGAAGGGAAGTATGGGGTGCAGCTGAGAAAAGAGGAGCTGAATAGGTGCTTGGAAATAGTTCCACACCTGAAAAGTTAATAAGCGCTTAATCTTCTGGAATACTTGGTGACCAAGGAAGATTGTCAGAACATGACAGTTTATGGTCAGAAGAGGGAAATGGCCCCAAATCTAAGAATGGCTATAAGAAGTAAGAGGAATTATTTACTATCATTCTCATCTCAATGACTTGATCAAAAAGCTCAGAAAACAATTTCCTTCATAAGTCTTTATATATAATTCTTTCCTACAGCCATCAGACAAAGGCCCCTTGAGTTATTTAGGGGGGCGGGGGGCTTGTAATATTAATGGTAGAGAGAAAATGTGGGAAACTTAGTAGTTAAATTTGATTGGAACCTCATTGGATTTAAAATTAACCTATTCATACATTAATATAATATCATTATAAAGTGTTAATATTGATGAGCACATTTTTGCTTCAGGTGTTTTTAAATTTTGATCGTAGATACAGGATTTGGTATCTATGCTTTAAGTGATTTTTATTTATTTATCTATTTCAGGTCAGATTTTCAGTAGATACCTGTTAGACAGGCCAGAGGAGGAGAAGTCCAAACTTTGGATGGAGAAGATTGTATATAAACTGAATGATAAGATTCGAGGAATAAAAAATGGAAAATATAAATGCAAAAAGTGAAAAACTATATAATATATACAGAAATGAAAAACTGATGAAAAATGTTGTAAATATATTAAATACCCTTTTTAATACCCAGATGTGCAATTTTTAAATTCTGATCACACATGTAAAAGTATTTCCAGTTTTGTTTTGTTTTTTAGCTCAACTGTAACAAAGTGTCACAACGTGAGCTCTTGTGATCACAATTCGTCTGGCGTCCATCCGTAAACTTTAACTTTTACCATCATATGACCCTCTTGTTTTTTGGTGAGTTTTTTTTTCCAGAAAAAGCTATTCTGCATTTTTTTCTGTGATTGTGTTTGAATCCCAGATTTGGATTTTGTAAGGATATCCCAACCGGGATCCCAATTGGGATTTGGCAGGATCCCAATTGGGATTTGACGGGATCCCAATTGGGATTTAGCGGGATCCCAATTGGGATTTGGTGGGATCCCAGTCGGGATCCCATTATTTATCCCAGTTGAATCCCGGTGGAATCCCATTTGGGATTCCATTGGGATCCCACTGGGAATCCTGCATATATTTTCTCTTGGGAAGGGCTCTAAACTGTGATTAATTTCATGGTTATTATGATATGTATGTTTGATATATTTTAGTATGTCTATACCCAGGTTATTCGACAACCCTTTATTTGAATACCAGGCATTATTCGAAGAAGATCGGCAGTCCAGTTTTTATCTCTATATAAATCAATATAAATACAAGCGTATTATTCGAAATGCCTCCTATTTTTAGAAGTAAAATTTCGGTCCCGATAATACAATTATAAAACAATTTCACACAGATCTATTATTCGCAGCCAGACTAATTGTTATTCGAAGCCAGACTAATTGACGTAGATCCACTTGCTGACCGGTTGACTTGTGAAAATATCAACAGTCATGCGTGTATTAAGACAATCATGATAATTACGCTTTGTGTGTTCTTTAATCAACTTTAATTACCGAAAATGCTGCACCGTGTCCAATGTTGTTCCTGTTATTGCTTGAAGATGACAGCATACCGTATAAGTGAATTTGTCAAAACATCCAAAATATTTTTTTCATTAAGATTAACGCTACATGAGAGCCTTTTCCCTAATCGAAAATACCAGAGTTTAGCTGTTTGATTGTTTGATTGTTTCATCAATGCCAAAAAAATAATTTTTACGCATATTTTCTATAATATTTATTTTCTCAATTGATTGCAGGAAGTGTTGAAAATGGTAGTTTTGCTATGATTGGTCAAAGTGGAGTAGTTTTCGTATATCACAATATTCAGATTTCGATTATTCGAACCTATCAATAATTCCAAGTAAATTTACAGTCCCAGGCACTTCGAATAAACTGGGTTGGACTGTACAACAACAACAGCTCAACCTTACAAACACCAACCATTCCAATGGAATCCATGCAAAAAAAAATTCTGCTTACACCATGTTTCCTTCTCCAAGACTCAATGAAGGTGTTTTTATAAATGGCCTTGAAGGTTCACACCAACCAGAATTTCCACTAAGAAGACTGAAGGTGCCAGCCAGAAAACCCTTAGATCCAAGATTGCTATTCAGGGATGCACCTTCGGAATTCTTGGCAGGAGCCATGGCCAGAATCACTGCATTCCAACGCAAAGAAATTCTTAACCAGGCTACAGAGTACAACACTAATATTTCCTTTGAACATCAAAATTTCACAATAACCAGAACGGAACATATTCAACTCTTTGATGGAAGAACCCTAACTATGAAGACCACCTGCACTCTAGACAACAGCCTCAAGATCTGCAAAGGAACACAGAAGTTAGAGCTGAATACAGCAATTACTGAAAGGAATCCTTTTGCAAGAAAACAGAAAGAATATCGTATGCAAGGGACCAAAAAGAAATTCATATGCAAAGACACAAGGAAACAAAAAGAATTTCATATGTAAGGACACGAGGAAAGAGAATTGTTATGTTTTTTTCTTGTTGACTTTAACACTACTATTGTTGTCTTATACCTTTGATCAATATATTTATATCTATTTTATTATGCATATATTAATGAATTTTCAGATGTGCATTTTAACATTTCTAATTCATTTCATATGCAAGAAAGCAGAATAAGTTATTCTTGTTGTAGGACATTGTTACAGAGATAAATTTTTATATCGTAATAGTTGGCATCTTGAATGCATATTTAACTTAAATTATTTTGGTTTTTACTTATACTGAATTCAATTATCGTTATTTCATGGTGGAGCCATTTTGTCATCACGCCTAAGTTAATTTGTTACAGCTTCATTCATTGGTTATTTTAATCTTTTTTTATCCAATGTTATTTAGTTACTTCACTGACAGACTAGCGTATGACTTCTTAAAAATGGAAGTTTTTCGAGCAGACCCAAAAACTTTAGACGTGGCCATGGCTATTGCCTCTGCTGAACAAAATATCAGAAAAAAGCTTACTTTAAGGGCAGGACACGAGTTTGATAAGCCACAAAGATATATTGATCCAAAATATGGACATGTTGTCCGAGACTGTAGGAGCAAAGATATAAATTTTGGCAAATTTCCAGACAGTGTCCTAACGCTAGGTCCAGACAACAAAATTACCCAAAAGTTCCTTCCATGTAGAAGCCGATGGAAGAAGAAAAAGGAAGCAACATAAATTTGACAGATCTCTTTCTATTTTTTTGTAATCTGGAATGTGTAGCAATACCAGATGACCAACAGATATGTATTACAATTTATATTCCATTACTTTGATTGGATTGCATTTTTGAATTTGTTTATGCTATTTACAGTTTACCTTTACCACATATTCAAACCGCAAACTTAATGATACTTGACAAACAGGACAGAAGTATGCAAGACCGTAACCTGATTGCATCATATCAAGTAGCGAGTAATGCAATGATGATTAATAAGCAAGAACAAAATATGCTCTTCTTGATCAAGAGTTTGAAAAATGCTCACACTCCAAGTGGTGTACTACAAAATCCCAAGTTTATCCTGTCAATTTAGCACAATTATGTTTTAATCAGTTTATTTTTAATGAATAATGACGCGGTTCAAAAGAACTGTGAAATCACAGGTACTTTCTGAAATATGCTCATTTAAATGGGACACACACATACATATAAATGTTGATCACATGTTGTGAACTTGTGTTTATATATATTTGTTTATTTGTTTCGAGTTGTTGGATATGGAAAAATAAATAATGAAAATTAAGAAAATGTTTATCAAGTGAAAAGCTTTCATTATTTGTTTTAAAACAGGCCACAGCAGTATCTTGACACCTAAAATAGCAAAAGTTTTCAACACACGGTATGGGGTCAAGACCCCCTCCCCCACCCAACCCTGTCTAATTAAAAAAATGTGGCGCTTAAACAAATTCCTGGGGAATTCCCTTATACTAAACTATAGATTTTTCTTTCCAAGAGATTATTGAAAGAAATTCAATTCAAAGAAACATGCATTTCTTACATGCGAACAATATATTTTCCCTGCATTGTTAGAAAGAGAAACCTATTTTGAGAACAATGCAATGTTCAAGTTCAGATGCACAATTTTACACACTCAAGCAGTTTTTATTGGAATGTAAAGTAAAAAATTAAAATAATTCTTTTTTGTAATTAATGTGCAGTCAAATGGTGCCCAACCGCCATTTAGGAAGCCGTTGGCAACTGTTGACACTAATCAACTGAGTGACTAAGTTTTATAAACTTATTAAAATAGTTGAGCTAAAAGTTGGGTTTTTTTTGTGATCAGTGTACATATATCTTGACTTCTTTAATAATAAAATAAACAAGTTGATAGCAAGCGATTTCTTTTACAAGTGAAAAAAAGCAAAATTGAAGCAGAAAAAAAAAACTTAGAAACTGTAGCAGGACTTGTGAATTTTACCTTTTTCAATATTGTATTAAGATCTAATAGGCTTTCATATGACCAGAAGTTACAACATATCTTACAAACACATTGCTTTCTTAATGTGATATAACATTATATGCATATTGTTAAAAAAAGTTACAAAGAACTTCTTAAATATAAACTATTGATTACACGAATTCTTAGGATTTCAATTTTTCATGCACGGAAACTTATTTCATTTATTTTCAATATACCATCTGAATTAAATTATAAAGGAACTTATTAAATCAGTCATAGAGTAATGACCATAAATGCTCATCTAGGTTCAGATTCACTTAAAACAGCAAAAATTTGAACCGTTACTTTATCCATCAACACTTAAAATGTATGATATTTTAAGGTCACTTTTAAAATCATTTGCTGACTTTTCAGCTTTAATGGAGGAGAAAGACAGCAGACACACATTCATACATTATTATTAATTATAACCATCAGCTTTCTTTAAGATGTAATAGATAATCTCCTTACACAAAGAAAACAATATTCCTTGTGAATCAATTACAGTGTGGGGCAAGTCAATAAAAATTTAAGTGGACCTAAATATCCAAATTAAAAAAATATCTAGGAAATGGATTTAAAACTGGTCTTAGTTGACCAATATTAACTCAAAATCAAAATTTACTATTTAAACAAGAAAACAAAATATAAAGGTATCTTGAAATAATCACATTGAACATTCACTTAAGCTCTAACAGATATATAAACTTAACTTGGCAGCAACATAATGGTTGCATCTTACTATCTGTTTCTTTACATTATACATTTATATAGCTATTTTGGAAAAAAAAAAGTATTTCCTGGAATGACTGAATTAAGTTAAAGTATACATATTGCACATTTATATAAAGTATGATGAAGTTACAGTCCCTCTCCTGATGGATGGGCCAGCTCCTGTATCAATGATGAAGTTACAGTCCCTCTCCTGATGGATGGGCCAGCTCCTGTATCACATGATGAAGTTACAGTCCCTCTCCTGACGGATGGGCCAGCTCCTGTATCACATGATGTAACAACTCATTCTGTTCTGCCGACAGCATTGGCCACAACTCTACCTGGATCGCCTGTAGGGCCTCTATGTCATGTGACTGGCATGCCATCTACAAACACAGTCAATGAAATTAAGATTTTTAATTTTCTGGCCTGAATTCCAATTTTGAATTTATTCTACCATATATTTAAATAAATTTTCTTAAATTGGCCCTGACTGATTTTCACTGGCCATGGGCCACTGGGCCAGTGCTAAATTCAATGACTGCAAACACACATAACGATATATCAATTAATGAAACACTTCTTCTATAAGGGTTAATAAATCAATTCTTTAGTGTAATTATTGTAGATATTTAGTGCTTTATACTTAATTCACCTTGTGCAGTACTTTGTTGACAATTTTCAGTATCTTCTAAATTTTCAAAAATTTAGGCAGGCTATTTCAAAGACTATAAAATTACATCATCACATACAATTTATGACACAATATTTCAAACATTGCCTCATTAAGGCTGAAGGAATATTACATTTTTTGTGTCAGATTTTTGTCATCATCATCAATTAATGAAGGTTTTATGAAGAGATGTAGAAATCTCTTCCCTTATTACCCATACTTTAATCATTGATCCAAAACTGTGTCTATTTAACAGTAAAAGTCAATGCAAGATATTTAAAATATCAAACATATGTCAATAATAAAACTACTGTGTAAAAGTTTGCAGCAGAAAAACAAACCAGTCACTAAATGCTCATATAAAATTTGTTTGAATAGCATTTCCTGGTCTTTATTTTGAGGCTTTTATCAGTTGTGTAACATTAAAAGCTGGTAATTTAATAATCTTAACTTAACTATTTCTATGAATTCTATATAGACTGTACTTACCACAACAGACTGTAGCATAAGAAATACATCTTCATCTAAAAATTGTGCTGAAAGAGAATAAAATATGCTAATAATTATTATATCAATTTTTTCCAAGAACTGACATACAAATTTTAAAAGTTAAATCACTTGAACAGTTTTTCATTTCAAATTTATTTTTTATTCAAAGCTATTACAGTAATTCATTTTTAGGTCTAAAACACCCAGTTTCTACTCAAAGCTTAGAAAATTTAGAGTTGGTAGGACAATCTTTCTTCCTTTTTTTATTATATCAGCTCAATGCAATTTTATCGGTCAAATATCAATGTCAGTTTATCTGCAATAAAGTTACTGTCTTACTCACCTATAGTATTGTCTTCTGATGATTCCCATGCATATTTCTCCAGTGTTTGTGCATGCTCTGGTCGTATTCTTTGTGGAGTTGGCTATGTAAAAACAAAATATACCAGAAATATTGTTTAACACATTCTAACAGCTTCAATGGCAAACAAATATCACTAAGAGGCTAGTAAAATTTTCAAGATGAGTTACAACTATATCATTACAGAATTTTTCAAAGGCTGATCAGAAAATATTTAAGTATGTATGTAAGTTACGTAGACATTATTAATGACTGGCAATAAACATTTTTTAAATAGAGTTAAACAAAGCTTTCTTCAAATGTTTATTATTACATGGAACAAAACAGATTTTTTTTGTATTTTCAAGAAAAATAGTGCATCTGGAGGTATGCTGTTTTCAGATTAACTTGTATTTAAAAGCAACACCCTACTTAGAGTAACATATACCTGAACTTCTTTGTAATATATTCAGAAAGTTTATGTTTTACCTGTAACAACATCAGCAACAATACTCTGGTTATCTCACATCTGGCTAGGATGTCACAATATGCTCCTATAGGTTTTCCTGTTACACTTGAACCTTTTTATCAATGAAAATAATAACAGTTTGTTAATATATGTAACACTATCATCCTCTCAGATACAATCTTAAAAAACTTTGTACAGTATATTTTCATATTTCAATAACAAATTTTGGAAAAAATCCAAAGTTAAAAAGGTGCATAACTCCAAAGATATAGCTTCCAGAATTATGCCCCTTCTCTAACAACTACACATTGTCATAATAAGCAAGTAATTCAAGTTTCTTGATAATCTTTAAAATGTTTGAATAATGGGTTACATTAAAGTTTCTGCGTGAGGACAACAACAATGCATCAATTGTAAAAGTTTGACTTTTCTTTGAAACAGATGAACTAATAAAATTATGTCAAATGATCATCAACGATTATACAATGGTTCATACATATACCTCCACTTTCCTGTGCCAGGTACGCCATTTCTGTAAACACACCAAGAGCTCCATCATAATCTCCTGTAGATTAAAACAAAATTTTGCAATAAATTTACTGACGAAAATTAACAATGTCTACAAAATGTGAGCAATGACTTTCAAACTGAAAAAAAGTCTTTGACTTAAAACAATAGCTATTGACTTATTAGGGTAACCATTTAAACCATTCAATTCTTGTCTGATTTTTAAAGGTGTACAGCCTTCAGCCAAAGCCATTTTAACAATATATGTTTGTAAAACATGTATGCCCCCTATCAGCAGCAACTTAGTCATGTGATCAGGTTATTATGCATGACTTCTGACCAAGTGAACAAACAATTAATAAGGGTTATCTAGTATCTACTGGTCATGACTAGTCACAAGGTAATAATTATTGTGACCCCATAGGTTGTGTGCAGCAATTTAAGTTATTACAAATCTTACCAAATAATATATGCATAAATTTTTTGAATCATGTAGGCCTCATTAATGACAGCCAAGTTGTTTTTATTACATAAGACCTTAAAATGTGTATCCCAAAAGCATTTTTAGTTAAATATAAAAATATCAACCAAGGCAACTTGAGTTGTTGAGTTATTGGTCAGAAACCGTCATTAAGTAGAAGGTAAATATGACATTGACCCCTTGACCCCAAAATCAATAGGGGTCATCTACTGAACATGACCAATCATCATACCAAGTTTGAAGTTCCTAGGGCTAAGCGTTCTTTAGTTATTGATCGGAAACCGTTTTTACCTACAAGGTCAATGTGACCTTGACCTTGGAACCCTTGACCCCAAAATCAATAGGGGTCATCTACTGGTCATAACCAATCATCATACCAAGTTTGAAGTTTCTAGGCCTAAGCGTTCTTTAGTTATTGATTGGAAACTGTTTTTACCTACAAGGTCAATGTGACCTTGATCCTTGACCCCTTGACCCAAAATCAATAGGGTCATCTTCTGGTCATGACCAATCACCATAGCAATTTTGAAGTTCCTAGGCCTAAGCGTTCTTTAGTTATTGATCAGAAACCGTTTTTACCTAAGAGGTCATTGTGCCCTTGACCTTTGACCCCTTGACCCAAAATTAAATAGGGGTCATCTGCTGGTCATGACCAATCACCATACAAAGTTTGAAGGTCCCAGGCCTAAGCGTTCTTTAGTTATTGATCGGAAACCGTTTTTACCTAAGAGGTCAATGTGACCTTGACCTTTGACCCCATGACCCCAAAATCTATATGGGTCATCTACTGATCATGACCAATCACCATACCAAGTTTGAAGTTCCTAGGCCTAAGTGTTCTTAAGTTATCGATCGGAAACTGTTTTTACCTAAAAGTCAATGTGACCTTTGACCCCTTAACCCCAAAATCAATAGGGGCCATCTGCTGGTCATGACCAATCACCATACCAAGTTTGAAGTTCCTAGGCCTAAAGGTTCTTTAGTTATTGATTGGAAACCGTTTTTACCTACAAGGTCAATGTGACCTTGACCTTTGACCCCTTGACCCCAAAATCAATAGGGGTCATCTACTGATCATGACCAATCACCATATCAAGTTTGAAGTTCCTAGGCCTAGGGGTTCTTTAGTTATTGATCAGAAACCGTTTTTACCTACAAGGTCAATGTGACCTTGACCTTTGACCCCATAACCCCAAAATCAATAGGGGTCATCTGCTGGTCATGACCAATCACAATAGCAAGTTTGAAGTTCCTGGGCCTAAGGGTTCTTTAGTTATTGATCAGAAACTGTTTTTACCTAAGAGGTCAATATGACCTTGACCTTTGACCCCTTGACCCTAAATCAATAGGGTCATCTACTGATCATGACCCCTTGACCCCTAAATCAATAGGGTCATCTACTGATCATGACCAATCACCATACCAAGTTTGATGTTCCTAGGCCTAAGGGTTCTTCAGTTATTGATCGGAAACCGTTTTTGCTTACAAGGTCAATGTGACCTTGACCTTTGACCCCTTGACCTCAAAATCAATAGGGGTCATCTACTGGTCACGACCAATCACCATACCAAGTTTGAAGTTCCTATGCCTAAGGGTTCTCTAGTTATCACTCGGAAACCATTTGGTCTACGGACCAACGGACCGACAGACCGCCAAGTGCAAAGCAATATACCCCCTCTTCTTCGAAGTGGGGGCATAATAATGACAGACAGTAAACCTGAGAAGTACCTATTCATTCTCCACAACTCCACAAGTAACATCCAACTTCTTTGCATTAAGTAATGAAATTTCTACAACTAATTCTAAACTAATTCAGATCTTATGAAATCAATAATTATTTAGTGGCGGAATTGTATAACATGTACAATTATATAACTTTGTTAAAAGATTTCTGTAGAAAGGACAACAAAAAGTATTATGTAATTCACTTACTTGTTTCAATCTTACAGGAAGCAACATGACCAAGTGACACCAGACAATCAAGTGGACTCTGAAATAAAATCAATTCATGTATGAAACACACAATCATGGGCAGATCCAGAGGTGGGGGTTAGGGATAATGCCAAATGCCCCTCTGGAATATGCATTACCCCCATGTCAAAATTTCGGGATCTATGCCTGAGATATACTAACTGTATTACAACAAGATATGTTTGTAAAACATGTATGCCCCCTATCAGCAGCCAATGAATCATGTGATAAGGTTATTTTGCATGACTTCTGACCCAGTGATCAAACAATTAATAAGTGTTATCAAGTATAACTGGTCATGACCTTAACCTTTGACCCCTTTACCCCAAAATCCAATAGGGGTAATCTGCTGGTCACGACCAATCATCATACAAAGTTTAAAGTTCCTAGGCCTAAGCTTTTTAAGTTAATTGATCGGAAACCGTTTTAGCATACAAGGTCAATGTGACCTTGACCTATGACCCCTTGACCCCAAAATCAATAGGTCATCTGCTGGTCATGACCAATCACCATACCATGTTTGAAGTTCCAAGGCCAAAGGGTTCTTAAGTTATTGATTTGAAAGCATTTTTACCTACAAGGTCAATGTGACCTTGCCCTTTGACCCTTAACCTCAATATCAATAGGGGTCATCTACTGGTCATGACCAATCATCATACCAAGTTTGAAGTTCCTAGGCCTAAGGGTTCTTTAGTTATTGATCGGAAACCGTTTTTACCTAAGAGGTCAATGTGACCTTGACCTTTGACCCCTTGACCCCAAAATCAATAGGGGTCATCTACTGATCATGACCAATCACAATATCAAGTTTGAAGTCCCTAGGCCTAAGGGTTCATTCTTAATTGATCGGAAACCGTTTTTACCTACAAAGTCAATGTGACCTTGACCTTTGACCCCTTAACCCCAAAATCAATAGGGGTCATCTGCTGGTCATGACCAATCACCATACTAAGTTTGAAGTTCCTAGGCCTAAGGGTTCTTTGGTTCTTTTGTTATTGATCGGAAATCGTTTTTACCTTCAAGGTCAATGTGACCTTGACCTTTGACCCCTTAACCCCAAAATCAATAGGGGTCATCTGCTGGTCATGACCAATCACCATACCAAGTTTGAAGTTCCTAGGCCTAAGGGTTCTTTTGTTATTGATCAGAAACCGTTTTTACCAAAGAGGTCAATGTGACCTTGACCTTTGACCCCTTGACCCCAAAATCAATAGGGGTCATCTACTGATCATGACCAATCACCATACCAAGTTTGAAGTTCCTAGGCCTTAAAGTTCTTTAGTTATTGATTGGAAACCGTTATTGCTTACAAGGTCAATGTGACCTTGACCTTTGACCCCTTGACCCCAAAATCAATAGGGGTCATCTACTGATCATGACCAATCACAATACCAAGTTTGAAGTTCCTAGGCCTTACTTCTTTAGTTATTGATCGGAAACCGTTTTTGCTTACAAGGTCAATGTGACCTTGACCTTTGACCCCTTGACCCCAAAATCAATAGGGATCATCTACTGATCATGACCAATCACCATACCAAGTTTGAAGTTCCTAGGCCTTAAGGTTCTTTAGTTATTGATCGGAAACGGTTTTTGCTTACAAGGTCAATGTGACCTTGACCTTTGACCCCTTGACCCCAAAATCAATAGGGGTCATCTACTGATCATTACCAATCACCATACCAAGTTTGAAGTTCCTAGGCCTTAAAGTTCTTTAGTTATTGATCGGAAACCGTTTTTGCTTACAAGGTCAATGTGACCTTGACCTTTGACCCTTGACCCCAAAATCAATAGGGATCATCTACTGATCATGACCAATCACCATATCAAGTTTGAAGTTCCTAGGCCTTAAGGTTCTTTAGTTATTGATCGTAAACCGTTTTTGCTTACAAGGTCAATGTGACCTTGACCTTTGACCCCTTGACCCCAAAATCAATAGGGGTCATCTACTGGTCATGACCAATCACCATACCAAGTTTGAAGTTCCTAGGCCTTAAGGTTCTTTAGTTATTGATCGGAAACCGTTTTTGCTTACAAGGTCAATGTGACCTTGACCTTTGACCCCTTAACCCCAAAATCAATAGGGGTCATCTACTGGTCATGACCAATCACCATACAAAGTTTGAAGTTCCTAGGCCTTAAGGTTCTTTAGTTATTGATCGGAAACCGTTTTTTGCTTACAAAGTCAATGTGACCTTGACCTTTGACCCCTTGACCCCAAAATCAATAGGGGTCATCTACTGATCATGACCAATCACCATACCAAGTTTGAAGTTCCTAGGCCTTAAGGTTCTTTAGTTATTGATCGGAAACCGTTTTTGCTTACAAGGTCAATGTGACCTTGACCTTTGACCCCAAAATCAATAGGGGTCATCTACTGGTCATGACCAATCACCATACCAAGTTTGAAGTTCCTAGGCCTTAAGGTTCTTTAGTTATTGATCGGAAACCGTTTTTGCTTACAAGGTCAATGTGACCTTGACCTTTGACCCCTTGACCCCAAAATCAATAGGGGTCATCTACTGGTCATGACCAATCACCATACCAAGTTTGAAGTTCCTAGGCCTTAAGGTTCTTTAGTTATTGATCGGAAACCGTTTTTGCTTACAAGGTCAATGTGACCTTGACCTTTGACCCCTTGACCCCAAAATCAATAGGGGTCATCTACTGGTCATGACCAATCACCATACCAAGTTTGAAGTTCCTAGGCCTAAGGGTTCTTTAGTTATCACTCGGAAACCATTTGGTCTACGGACCGACGGACCGACAAGTGCAAAGCAATATACCCCCTTTTCTTCGAAATGGGGGCATAATTAAATAAAGAGAATCTAAATCTGTGACAGTAAACTGTCATTAAATCACTCAGTATCTCAGGTATATTAAACAATATATTACAAGCTATATATTACAATGTATGTTACTCACCTGTGATTGAAGCTCAGCTGCTCTCTGGAAATGTGCCATAGCTTCACCTGGCTTGTTTAACTTCTGTCAAATTAATAATATTACATCTCATTTTTCTTGTAATTAAATGGTTTTAAAAGCCAACTGCTGAAATTTTCATTTTTTTCTTCTTTCTATTTCAAATTATTTGTTTATGATTAAACACTTGATCACCTATTTAAGAACATATCGTCACCTTAGTGCAATAACTGATTAACTCATATAAAATTTAGAACTTATTCCATAACTGTACTTAGGTGACAATATAATTCCAAGAACAGTCTTCCATTGGAACAGCCTATCTTCTTATATTGTTTCATTGCCCACTATGTTGATGTGAGGACTTAAAAACTGGCCAATACAATTCTTCAGCAACTGTACAAGATATTTAAACTTAACAATGAAATAAAACAGTGCTCGCCACCCATATAAACTTGTGTGGGCTTCAATCCCTACACAATATGACTTGACTAAGAACAGTTACCAGACCCAACTTCAAAATTACCAGTACATCTTAATAATGTTACCCGATAATGGGCAGTTCCAAAAAATGGAAACTTGGCAAGTCTATTTAGGAAATTCAGCATGATTAGGGTTGCCATGATTTAGTAGTAAAGAATTATATGTATGATATCCGTGCAGTCTGATCAGGATCCATGCTGTTCGCTTGCAAACCATGTAACAAGTAGAGAAACTGGTAGCGAACAGCATGGATCCTGATCAGACTGCACAGATGCGCAGGCTGGTCTGGATCCATGCTGGTCGCAAACGCATAACGGTTTTGTCATGACGTGGCTCATATGATATCACCTTACTCTTACAGACAGTATAAAGAAATACAAGAGCTGTCGGTAGGACAGCACGCTCGACTATTCTAAGTGCTTGATAGTAAAAGAGCCTTGATAATGTTAAATTTTTTAAGATCACAAAAGGTCTAATTTTTTTTTAATAAATTCATGTTATAGGCCTTAGAGAGAGTCTAATTATACAATATTGGCTTGACTATTCGGAAGGTAATGTCACAAGGTTGTTTTATTGAGTATAATAATACTAATTACCTATGAATACATAAATTTGACAGAAAAGGTACATAGGCTTCTAATTAAGATGTTTTATCAAGTAAATCACTGCTTTATTATTATGAATGCATAAAATTGTCTCAAAAAAGGGCACAAACCCTTCAGTAGTAATTGAGATAACAGCTTACAAGCAAAACTTTACCATGAATTTCTAAGTTGAAAAAGGGGAGAAAAATCAGCCTAAATGCAAGATAGAATTATGGATCTTTGTCAGTGACCTACAATTATGACCCTTAATGCAAATGTGAAGTTTTAAATAAATATCTTTAATAGTTATTGAGATATGTAAAACTTGCATGTAAACATTAACCAAGAGACTAAGTAGAAAAGGGGATATGAATCAGCCTTAATGCAAGATAGAGTTATGGAACTTGGTCAGTGACATACAATTATGACCCTCCAATTATGACCCTAAGTGCATGTGTAAAGTTTCAAGTAAATATCTTTGAAGACCTTTAACCAAAATTTATAAGTTTCAAAGGGGCAAATAATTCTTCAAATTTTGCAGGCAGAGTTATGCAATTTTGCAAACTGATGTACATTGTTACTATAAAAAAGTATTTTAAATTTCATTTGAATATCACAAGCAATAATTGAGATATTTGACTTTACAAAAAAACTTTAACCAAAATTTCTAAGTTCCAAAGGGGCATAATTCTGTTAATATTGTAGGCAGAGTTATCCAAATTGTCAATCTGATGTACCTTGTTACTATAAATAAGTATTGTAAGTTTCAATTGAATATCTCTAGCAATAATTGACAAAAAACTTTAACCAAAATTTCTAAGTTAAAAAGGGGCATAATTCTGTCAATATTGTAGGCAGAGTTATCTAACTTGTCAATCTGATGTACCTTGTTACTATAAATAAGTATTGTAAGTTTCAATTGAATATCTCAAGTAATTATTGAGATATTTGACTTTACAAAAAACTTTAACCAAAATTTCTAAGTTAAAAAGGGGCATAATTCTGTCAATATTGTAGACAGAGTTATCCAACTTGTCAATATGATGTACCTTGTTACTATAAATAAGTATTGTAAGTTTCAATTGAATATCTCAAGTAATGATTGAGATATTTGACTTTACAAAAAACTTTAACCAACGCAGATGCCGACGCGGACGCTGACGCCGACGCCGGGGCGACTACAATAGCTCTCATATTCTTCGAATAGTCGAGCTAAAAATGTGATATTTACCTGTAGTGCATTACCCAGCTCCAGTGACAAGGCAGCAGCCAATGACATATTCTTATTCTCAATATGAACCTATAATTGCATACACTGTTATATTAATGCATGGGTTTTTTTGGTTAATTTTCATTTGACAATCATGCAAATTGTAGTATCTTTACACACTTCTTTTAAAAAATTTATAAATTAAATTTTACTTTCATTATTGTGAAGGATTCCCCAGTACTATACACTATATGATGATCTCGGACAGGTTAAATCCATGGATAAGTGGCATGAGTAACAAAAGCTTACAGCATTTAATACTGGGACAAAATTATAGTCTATAGAAAACACCTTTTTAATACAAAAATGTATCTGATTTTAGATAAAATAGTTTTGATACAATAAATATGAAGTTGTTATTTTCATGACCAATATTGGTACTTGTGTTTTCTTCAAATCATAAAAATGTTTCAGAAACATTGTTGTATAAGTTAAAACTTATTTATTTAACCTCAATCATGAAACAACTTTTTTTGCAACTACCAATAACTTTCTATGATGTTCCCTTTATCATCAAATTTATAAATAAACTTACTCTAATAGCATGACTGTAGCAGTTGATAGCAGCTGTCAGATGCTCCTGAAAACTCAGACATTTTATTCCGACATTATCTTCCTCCGCCTTGATAAACTCCCTGGCAGCATTCACCAAGGCTTGAGTCTCACCCGCCGCATTCACAAGGGTATGTTCACATCTGTCATAGAATTAAAATGGTAATATGGTAAGCTGCAAGCAACACCTCATTTCTGATACAAACTAATGCGAAAGATATTTTGGATATTAAATGAAAACACTACAGCAACTTTAAAGGTATATTAGACCCAAATTTCATGTTTGAAAATATAAATAATTGATACACAATCTTTATGTGAATATTAAATAAACAGGTTTTGTGTACACACTGAATATGTATAGTCTGATTTTATTGACCTGTCAATTATGAATACATTATAGGACTCATTTAAATATTCGATCCCACTTCGGTTTGGTCCGTGTAGTTTACGAGAATTAATGTGGAGTATATTAGTCATGTTTTGAAAGTCACGCCAGCTTAAAGTGAAGGGTTTCGTTAATTCACAATAGGACAGTCGGTAAAGAGAATGCCTGATAATTGAGAGGTCTGTGGTTCGATCCTTACTGTTGGCCTTTATTTATTTTTGCAGTATATTTTAAAGGAAAAGATTTGTTGTGTGTTTTACGGCATTGAAAAGGCATTTATTGATTTTAATCCGTTTTGATTTTAAATATGAATTCTTAAAGCATGTTATTTAAAAAGAGTATAGACTTAACAAAATTAAGTAAAACATAATAAAACAAAACGAACAACATAAAATAATCATATATAGCTTCAATAATGTTGAACGTATTAATAAGAAAAAAACATGGACCAACGCGGTCTCGAACTTAAAACACGTGTGGTACTTAGATTATAAACTCTTGCCCCACCCTATTGCGCTTTAACGCCTAGTACACCTTGTAAAGAGATACAAATTTAATTGAATTCCATCGTGAAGCGTACATCACACGGAACTTACCGAAAATCTACCGAAGATTAATATAATGTGTGCATCGACCGTGTAATCAGTATGTAATTGACAGGTTAATAAAACCAAACAATATGTTACGTTTAAACCTCTACACACTACAGGTAAACATAAGATAAATGCAATGTGTCGTTAAAAAAACGGCGGTTTTTAAGAAAAGGCCAATATAAGACGGTTAGTAACTGGGTTTACAGCTGTCCATGCATAGGGGGAATATTTTTTTTCAGTCAAGTTAGACAAATTCAGTAAGAATTTCCTAGATATTAATTAATTCTGCATCAAAAATATTTTATTCAAAGATGGGCCGAGTAGACTTTTAATACAGCATATTCATAATATTTTATTTAATTACATTGATTTTCTTAAAAGGAGGATAAATATTACAGTTAATCAAACAATACATTTGATATCCCTGTATGTAAAGACTGGACTGTGATGTCCTCTTAATTTCACATTATATTATAAACTTCTTTTGACTTTGACACTGTTTCTAGTACCAGAATTTTAAACTTTGACCCCAAAAAAGGGCAAAATACTGAAACATGTCAGCCATTATCAACATACAGAGGTTAAACATTACTGGTGTGAATACTGACCTTGCTGGATAATAAATGAATAAACTAAAACATCATATAATCATTACTGTGTCAAATAATAAAGTCATAGTTTAAGTTAAAGTTTACCTGGCCTGAGCAAGGTGACAAAATGCAGCATACTGTGGACATTCCTGGTGTTTTAATGACTTTGCTAGGGCACCTGTACAATATAATTTACATTTTTATTTAGTGCTTTATATCGCAAGTCAAATTAACAAGATGATGTTGAATAAGAAGCAGTCAGAGACTGCCAAATTCCCAGCAAGACAAAAGTTAATATTCAAATACTTCCCAACAAGACAAAAGTTAATATTCAATTACATCCCAACAAGACAAAAGTTAATATTCAAATAATTCCCATCAAGACAAAAGTTAATATTCAAATACTCCCCATCAAGACAAAAGTTAATATTCAAATAATTCCCAACAAAACAAAAGTTAATATTCAAATACTCCCCATCAAGACAAAAGTTAATATTCAAATAATTCCCAACAAAACAAAAGTTAATATTCAAATACTCCCCATCAAGACAAAAGTTAATATTCAAATACTCCCCAACAAGACAAAAGTTAATATTCAAATACTCCCCATCAAGACAAAAGTTAACATTCAAATAATTCCCAACAAGACAAAAGTTAATATTCAAATACTTCCCAACAAGACAAAAGTTAATATTCAAATACTTCCCAACAAGACTAAAGTTAATATTCAAATACTTCCCAACAAGACAAAAGTTAATATTCAAATAATTCCCAACAAAAGTTAATATTCAAATAATTCCCAACAAGACAAAAGTTAATATTCAAATTAAGGGTGTAACGGTTTACCGGTATACCGATATATTGCAATATGAAAAAATAAATTTTGTACCGCGGTACGATTTTCGGAAAACCGGTATTTCATAATTTTCAATTAATTGCCTTCTAATTTTGTACAAATTTCACATAAAATCTTTAATTGGCGAATTTTGTTGGCGCCAACGTAAGATAAAAGTATCCGACAACTAGTACACTTAAAAGTCAATAAGCGGCCGCATAATTTACATAAGCGGCCCAGATGTGAAAGGTCACACGCGACTAGTTTTGTTTATCAAATTGTGTGACACTTTACTTTCTATTTATTCCTTACATTTTTTACTAAAATACAAATGTATATACATATAATAATAATATATGTATGTTACTACATCTTTACATCAAAACATATACACGACAATACGTATTGCAATATATTGCAATACGCTTCAGCAAAATGGCAATATATTGCAATACGGTTTTTGCTGTATTGTTACACCCCTAATTCAAATACTTCCCAACAAGACAAAAGTTAATATTCAAATACTTCCCAACAAGACAAAAGTTAATATTCAAATACTCATCATCAATTAAATGGGACACTGAATTTAATCAGAATATTGCAAGATAAAAAAAATCCATAAGTTACTTTATAAGATATATTAAAACTACAGACAAATGTTTAATAAATCAACTTACCATATTGTTCACAACCCTCAGCAACATTTGGTCTTTTAAGAAATCTCCTGAAACACAACCATAATGATAAGTAACACCCTACTTAGACCATGTCAGAAATATACTACATAGTCAAATGGGTACAAAGATAAGCAAAACTGAATTTATTAACCAATTCAGCACTGACTGAACAACTTCTTCTAGTTTACCCCTACTGATAACTGAGAAGCCAGCCCCCATGAAGTATATTGATCTTATCTAACCTGTATCTCTGAGAACAGGGCAGTTATGTAATTTGCCACTGACAAAGTAATAAACCAATCAGAGTTGAATTTCACATCATTTGGTGGTCATGGCAACATGTTGGCCAGATGTGTAAAGTGTGGAACAAAAGATTTATTTTAATTAACAAAATTATTACTAAAGTATTCTAAGTAAACATTATTATTTTTAAAGTGGGGAACAAAAGATTTATTTTTGTTAACTTAACAAAATTATTACTTGAGTATTCTAAGTATACATAATCATTATTGTGAAATAAAATTTTTTTATAGAAGATAAGCTATAACCTTGTTAAATCTAATCAAAACATCCTTGCAGGTGCAAAAAAAATTATTGCAAATTCAGAGCAACAGATTATTTTTTCAGTGATTTTTTCCCAATTTTCAAAACAACCTGTGGCTTTCTGAAGGGGAAAGTATAGTGCGATAAATCAGAAAAGGGGGAAACCTGAAATCAAATTCCAACAACTGAAAATGGAATTTACCCACACATTTTATGGAAAAAAAAATTTAATTCAATTTAACATGCATGGTACATAGCAGAGGTCTGAGGATATCTAAAGGGACAGATTTCTGTCTTCTAGCTGATGCTGTTTCCGGTAAGTCATGGTTCTGGTAAGGAAGAGCACGAGGCATTTTAGGGGAAAATTTATATGCATTCTAAATGGAAAATATACCAATTTTGGGCAAGGGGAAACAGCCTTTATTCGGCTGTAATATACAGTGAAAAAAATCACTGTTTTCAGACACTTATTTTTTTCACTGCAACTAGTTTCTTTACTAATATTTCCAAAAAAATTAAAGCTAAAAATCATTTAAGTGTGCCTACTATAATTATCATGGCAGAAAAAAAGTTTGCCTGCTCTTCAGCAGAAGTTATTTTGATTCCCACAATCCCTGCCATATTACATTTGGAGCATGCCAGGATTTACCTCCACTATTGTTTTTATTTTACCAAGTTTTTCTGGTTTACCGTCATTCAAACTGACATTCGAAACCCTCGCCAATTACCATTTATCAAAATACGAAGTTTCGTGAACATATGTCTTCCCCAAGTGGGACTTTCAGCGCATTCTAAATTTTAATTTGATGAATTAATCAAACTGTGAGTAAAATTTTGACTGACTTAAATATACTGCATAGCACATTTTTTATTAATTACAGTCAAAATAATTACCTTTATATGCATCTTATCCAAAAAAATAGAAAAAGATGCCATGTGTATAACAACTTACGGTAGGTTTCCGTTTCACAAATTCAATATCATTTTTACCAAAATGAAATTATTAATTCTATGTTAATTTGTGTTCTCTGACCGGTGGATTCAATTTAGATATCATATTAAACATGAAATGATCATGTTTTCGAAAGTAAACGTTACGTGGTAGTGTGTGGTAGTGTCAAGAGAACAAATTCTTCTATTTTCATACTTATCTGTTAATTTTCATTGGTCATGTGAAATCCTCAGACCAATGAAAATACTCCATACATAAATAAAGGAGAACAATCTGCAACAGTGTTCTGGATTGAAAATTTGACATAATATGGGAAAAAAGGTGTGTGATGATTTGATTAGATAGTTCTTACAATTTCAAATAATTCAAAAAATTATTCATTCATAATGAATTTAGTGTGTTTTACTCAAGATTGAGAGTTGTGCCAAAACAGTGCAATTAGATATCTGTAGGACAGCTTATGCTTAAATATTACTTGCTACATATAATCAGCAAAGGTATTAGTGTTGTTCCCTTTAAAAGTATTTATTTATCTAAGATTTGACACCAAGATTGTTAAGATTGATGAAAATTTGATCAAAATATGTGCTGAAAATTGAGATGCTAGTGATTTTTCTGTACAATATGATAGTACAGTAGAATACCTTTTAATTTTTCAGTCATGAACTTTTTCATATATAGAGGATACTGAATGAGTGTAAGTTCAATACTGAATTTATTGCACAAGTTGAATAAAACAAGATATGTTTGTAAAACATGTATGCCCCCTATCGGCAGCCAATTAGTCAGCTGATCAGGTTATTATGCATGACTTCTGACCCAGTGAACAAACAATTAAAAAGGGTTATCTAGTATCTACTGGTCATGACTAGTCACAAGGTAATAATTATTGTGACCCCATAGGTTGTGTGCATCAATTTAAGTTATTACAAATCTTACCAAATAATATATGCATAAATTTTATGAATCATGTAGGCCTCATTAATGACAGCCAAGTTGTTATATTACATAAGACCTTCAAACGTGTATACCAAAAGCATTTTTAGTTCAATATAAAAATATCAATCGAGGCAACTTGAGTTGTAGAGTTATTGGTCAGAAACCGTCATTAAGTACAGGGTCAATATGACATTGACCCCTTGACCCCAAAATCTTTAGGGGTCATCTGCTGGCCATGACCAATCATCATACCAAGTTTGAAGTTCCTAGGCCTAAGCGTTCTTTAGTTATTGATCGGACACTGTTTTTACCTACAAGGTCAATGTGACCTTGACCTTGGACCCCTTGACCCCAAAATCAATAGGGGTCATCTGCTGGTCATGACCAATCACCATACCAAGTTTGAAGTTCCTAGGCCTAAGGGTTCTTAAGTTATTGATCGAAAACCGTTTTTTACCTACAAGGTCAATGTGACCTTGACCTTTGACCCCTTAACCCCAAAATCAATAGGGGTCATCTGCTGGTCATGACCAATCACCATACCAAGTCTGAAGTTCCTAGGCCTAAGGGTTCTTTAGTTATTGACCGGAAACCGTTTTTACCTAAGAGGTCAATGTGACCTTGACCTTTGACCCCTTGACCCCAACATGAATAGGGGTCATCTACTGATCATGACCAATCACCATATCAAGTTTGAAGTCCCTAGGCCTAAGGGTTCTTAAGTTATTGATCAGAAACCGTTTTTACCAATGTGACCTTGACCTTTGACCCCTTAACCCCAAAATCAATAGGGGTCATCTGCTGGTCATGACCAATCACCATATCAAGTTTGAAGTCCTTAGGCCTAAAGGTTCTTTAGTTATTGATCAGAACAAGGTCAATGTGACCTTGACCTTTGACCCCTTAACCCCAAAATCAATAGGGGTCATCTGCTGGTCATGGCCATTATCACCATACCAAGTTTGAAGTTCCTAGGCCTATTGGTTCTTTAGTTATTGAGCGGAAACCGTTTTTACCTAAGAGGTCAATGTGACCTTGACCTTTGACCCCTTGACCCAAAAATCAATAGGGGTCATCTACTGATCATGACCAATCACCATACCAAGTTTGAAGTCCCTAGGCCTAAGGGTTCTTTAGTTATTGATCAGAAACCGTTTTTACCTACAAGGTCAATGTGACCTTGACCTTTTACCCCTTAACCCCCAAATCAATAGGGGTCATCTGCTGGTCATGACCAATCACCATACCAAGTTTGAAGTTCCTAGGCCTAAGGGTTCTTTAGTTATTGATCGGAAACCATTTTTGCTTACAAGGTCAATGTGACCTTGACCTTTGACCCCTTGACCCCAAAATCGATAGGGGTCATCTACTGGTCATGACCAATCACCATACCAAGTTTGAAGTTCCTAAGCCTAAGGGTTCTTTAGTTATCACTCGGAATCCATTTGGTCTACGGACCGACGGACCAACGGACCAACGGACCGACGGACCGACAAGTGCAAAGCAATATACCCCCTCTTCTTCAAAGTGGGGGCATAATTATATTATGCGAGCCTCTGGCAAGCATAATATTATTTCATTCAATAACTTCAATTAATTCAGTGAATAAAATTATATTGTGCGAGCCTCTGGCGAACATAATATTATTCTATTCAAAAACTTCAATTAATTTAGTAAAAACTTACAAGAATTTAACATTCTATTTATGACATACCCAAAATAAAGACTGTTTAAATTGAAAAAAAAGAGTAATTTTTCATTGAATTCTTCTAGTAAAATCGATATCTCTAACTCTAAAACAATGCAAATTTAGCTGTTTTTAAGCCACTAGTTTGGGGCGATTTATGCCCAATTTTAAAATTTATTACACCAGTAATAAGCTTATGATCTTAGCTTTGTCTCAGTATATATTTCATTACATTGTTTGACACTGAGTATAAAACGTATGCAAAATGGTCCGACTTGTGGTAGGTATAACCGTAGATATAAATACCTTCAGTGTCAAACAATTTGTTGAAATACAGTGAGACATGCAATTGGTTATATTCACTAGCAATTCTACTGGTAAGAATAGCCTGTCGTCTGCTAGTTTGTAAACTCTCAAACCGTCACCGTGTATTTTCAGTGTCAGCTCTGTGTATTCCGATAACAGAACAATTTCATTCAACATCTTGGATTAATAACAAACTTCAAGGATTCAGGATAAAAACAGAAGTGGTGCATGAAATACAAAATGACGGTGGTCTTTAAAACTTGTCACATTTTAAAAACATGAAAATAGAAAAATTAACGATTTTTTTAACCGACTTCCCCATTCATTGCCTTTGCTTAATTATATTTTATAATATTAAATCGAAATTATTCATGAGAGGGGCCTCCAATTTGATAAAATCATTAAATGGCCGAAATTTCTTTGGCCGAAACGTCTCGGAAACGAAACGTCTCGGAAAGAACTTCTCACCGATTTTTTTCGAGAAAACAAATAATTTTTAAAGGATGAATATCCGTCAAATTATCAACAAGGTACATACTTTTTCAATTTATTTGACACTGTTCTATATTTTCCAAGAACATCGGCGTCTCTCTCCATAATGATGAAATGACCTGCGACCGCGTTTGCAGAGGGAAAATCTTGATCATTCAGACGCAGGTCTATCTAAAATATATCCCGGCACCGTGCCATATATAACTATCTTCTACTTCTACTTCTAAGTTGTGCTCGTCTGTAAATCCGCTGTGCAGACATCTGTACGTGTTGCAATATAACGTTAAAAAACAAGCATTTGTTTTGGAAAGTTGATGAATCCTAATTCAAAATGTTTATACTGATTAGAGCAAAGTACTATAAAAATTTCACTATTCATCGAACTGAGAAAGATTTTTGTGTATACCTTTTACAGGTACCACTTTCAATTTTGATATTTATAAGTATATCATTTAACTATGGTAAAAATCCCAAGAAGAATTCTATTCACTATTTTTACTTATATTATATGCCATGCACTTTATTGCACAACAGATTAATCTTTTCCCTGATATATAAGCGTGTTTTGACGGCTTTTTGCCCCCCCCCCTTTTTTGAGGCCTCAAACAGAGAAAAAAAAGCCCTTTTTAGGCCCGAAACACTGCTTTTCGTTTGAGAAATGTTGTTAAAAATGTGACCACTTTTTCGGGGCGGCCCCCATCCAAACGATACATCTGGGGGTTGCCAGAAGGGAGATGTGCCCCCTAATGTTTGTGGGGGGGTGGAAGGGGAGCGGTATTCCCCCTCATCGCCAAGAAAATTTTGGACATGTGACAGGCATTTTTCATAGTTTTATAGCAGTTGAAGGCTTTTCAATGAAAACGGCCATTTTTCACAATATGCTCATGGGGTAAAAGGTTAAATGACATTACATTACTTAAACATATAGAGGCGTATGAATGAGTTGCAATAGATTTTATACATCTGGCATGTACAGATGACGTTGCTTTATTATTAAAGTAATTGTTATAAGATAATGATTGAGTTGTGTGACATGGTCGAAACAGTTGGTTTAACTACTGTTATGAACATCGGCGCAAAATAAACTCACCAAAAAGCTCAGTAATACAATACAATTAAACCAAGCTTACATAACGAAATAATTCATAGAACCGAGAAAAACGTACATATTGGTGAAACGAGAAAATCTAATTGAAAAGTGGATATAGCACCAAAGGTGGATTTTGGTGATAGGACTGTATATTCACTTTTATAATCTGAGATTTAAAAAATGGAGGAATTTTCTTGCTTGGATCATTTCTCATTAATTCCTGAAGATAAGTTTTCACTGTTTGACTAACACCCAGAATACATGTAGGCTTAGGGTGCTCAGTTATTCCATTATTTCCAAAGAAATGGCAATTTCTTATATGCTCTCCTATCTATCTACGCTGAATTGTTATCTGCCTGTAAATTGTCTCCTTAAATGGCCATTACCAACCAGAGCAGCATCAGTACTTAGGGTGTAATACTTAAGTACCAGTACTTGCCAAGTTATGCAGTACCATTACCAGTACTAGACTTTAGACTTTAATTAGACTTATTTATTAGACTTTTATTTATTAGACTTTTATTAATTAGACTTTTGCCCCTAGTTTTTATTTATTCTATTTATCCCCCCTCCCCGGGTCTCATGTCCCCTTCCCCTGTGCCTTTTGACTTTATGGACCTAATATTCAATCATTTATTTGTTTTCTGTTAGTTGCTTATCAGTTTCTAATTATTCATTCTTAGGTAGTGGTTTGCCTGCCTGTACTCTGCCTTATGCCCTTTCCTGTTTTTGTTTGTGGTCCTCTTGGGCTCCTTGCCACTGGCTCTTGTTACTGGGTCGGGTGGTGGCTGCGTTCTTTGAACGCCCGTTCTTTGAACGCCGCCTTTCCTTGATGATCTTGTTTATCATATTTTAGATTGAAGTACCAGGACTTTATTTTAGGAAATAAATATAAGTATCTGTACCAGTACTTTTATATATTCATCATAATTAGAAAAAATGCACACTATCAATCAAAAATAACATATTATGTATATTGACATATTTTAATGATTTTAACTACATATTTAAAAAAATGCAAACATTATTCAGCAAAAAAATAAAATTAATAATTATTATTTACTTTAAAGTTAACATTACATTTTTACAACTTTTAATGATTTAACATACTTTTTACAGACAACATTTACAACGTATCATATTTGTGTCCTGTCTTATTGGACATTTTTGTTTAAAAAAAAAAAATAATGGTTTCATTCTGATGTCAACTTGTAATATAATAATGATAATGATATTTTACAGTGGATTTGCTGTAATTGGACTAAATTATTTCAACATTTTAACAGATGCATTATTAAAATCCATGTCTTTCTTAGCATTTGTAATGTTTAACTGATTTTTTAAATCTTCATTTATTGGTTTAAAACACATGTGCTTTACTCCTAATTCTTTCTCCTTTGTAGTACTTTATATCCTTCAGACCATTACACGGTTATACCGTATAATAGGACGGCTAATAACCCTACTGTACCAATCGTCTAGTGACATTGAGCAAGAAAATAACATATCATTTTCTTTAATATTTCATTTAAGGTAATAATGCAGTATTTCTCATAAATGAAATGCATTGAGATTAGAAAAATGAAAGCATTTTCTCTCATCTGGTTCATAGATTGTACCCTTGCAATGGTCAAATGTGCTGCAATCAACACAATAAGAAATGTAAATAAGTTCGGATATAATATTGTCCGAAATTCTTGTTATTCAATTTAAGCAAAAGGTTGTTTTGTGGCATATACAATTATGATTTTTTTGGTATCAGGTTTTGTCAATTAATATCAATCTTTCAGATTATACCCTCCACCCTCATAAATTTCCAATTTTGAGACAGACTAGTTTAGGTCATCCTTAAAAAAATGTTTGTTTGCAGTAACACGACCGACTCACAAAATTTGCCCCTACTCAAATGTTTTTTCATGGTCTGGATAAAAAAATAATTTTTTTTGAATCAGAAAATTATGCCCTGTGCTTTGTTTTCGTTCTTTTAAAGGTTAATAGAAGAAATAAAATGTAGTTCTTATTAAATTAGAATTCAGTTATCAATTTATTAATTGTTACCAGATTATTAAAGCATGTATTGTCCAGCATTATGAAATTCCATGTTTATTTCGGAGTACAGTTCAATAAAAAAAAAAAAAAAAAAAAATCGACCTACCTACCCACCTTGAAAATTCTGGGTCGGGTTACTGCAAACAAACATTTTTTTAAGGATGGCCTTAAGCTATTTGTGTTCATCCCCACTTTCTGATGGGCCTCACACTGTACACTGGAAATGACTTTGACATTGATGCCCCCTTTTTTTTGGTTAAGAACTAAAGTTGATTCCCTGTCATTTTTAGATAAAACTGTACTTCCAACATATTCTGCAGTGATTTTCCTACTTATATAACAGACTCCGAAAAAAAGCCTCTTTTCTTTAAAATCATGCAGTTTTCCCAAAAATCTAAACTTAAACCAGCTTTTTTACTTCCCAAATCAGTCATTTTAGCGATAATTTTTCAAAAAATCAAGAGGCTTAGGCCTCTTTCCAATTAAGTGAATAAAATCACTGATTCATTTAAAACTTTAATTTCGCTCTTGTCCAGTCTTTTTGTACAGTACAGTAGTTTACTTAAGGGTATGCTGCCCTGTTAAAATTACAGAGGTCAAGTGACTTTTCATTCGAGAAAGCACTAAGCCCAAGTAGAAGTTGTTATAAATTTAGTATTTATGTAACAGACTTTAGTTCAATTTTACCTGATAAGAATAATTTATTATGAACTGCAAATTATTTATTACACAGATTTTATAAAAATGCTGTCTTCTTCAAAAA